TAGCTCCTTTCTTCGTTTTGAGTATTTTTTTCGTACAATTATCTTCTGTAGATTAATTTCTAAAAGATGCCTAATTGTAGCAGCATTTGTGAAATAGAACAATGTCATTATTGAGATGTTAGTGAGTCATAGGCATTGTGTTAAGAAGGAGAGCATGTTCAATAAGATTTTGAAGTTTTCTGAACAGTTGCAATGTATAATAATTCAGTTCTTTATTACAGTAATAATGACAAAAGTAATAATAATATAATTATCCACGTATTTTTAACTTTGGTACTACATGAAGAACAGTGGTCAGCTTGACGTTCCGGCCACTTTACTTTGACTAAAGGAGCTCCCATCGGATTGGATACTCGGCGTGCTTCAGAGAAAAGTCACTGCCCCCGCTGGAAATCGAACCCTGATCATCCATACGGTTAACCAGCTATTTTATTGATTGAAAAAATATCAGATTTTAATCAGACGGTTATTGTAATTTATAATTGTTTATGATGACCTCTATACTTACAAAGATGAAACATTTATAATTTTATTTTGTCGGGAATATGCTAATCGGTTCAGTCTATTTTATACTTAAGTGTCTGCCAGAAGTATTAAGAGATTTGAGCTGCAAATAAATAACTGTATGCTACAAGACATTGAACAGCCGTGGAGGGTAATATGTAATGAAATTTTATATTTCTTAGTTTTAGTAAACTTCTTCACTGCAGTCCAATTTGTGTTAAAGTCCGACATCGATGAGGGCATTCTGCACAAAGCACTACTTTCGTTTCTGCGCACAGAAGCGACTAAAATTGCGTGAGGGAATCCCCAGCGTGACAGTCTCGTGCAACAACGTGTAGGAGAATACCGGAGAATCCCCCGTGATGACTTCGTCACATAGCCATGTTGGCGCCACACAGTCCGGCCGCGCAAAGGTCATTGACTTCATACTAGAGAATTCGCCCAACTCGGGCACATGGCATCGTCTCTGAAAACAAGCTCTTCCTGTGCGCGAGGTGTCTCATTCACATTTGCTCCTTCTCGCACCCCTTCCTCGAAATATTATAAGTGTAATGAAACAGTTTTTGTGACTTTCGTCAGGTCGTTTTTCGTGAAAGTGGACCTTTTGTCACGACGACATTGTTTGTGGATGGAGAAATCTAATACATAAGCAATCGCGAACAGTCGACAAGGGGTGTTCCTCGAGCTTGTGGGGTTAGGAAGGGGAGTAACGATTCCTCGACGTAGAAGACCAGCACTTTACGAAGTCTTGACCTCAGTCGTGAGCGGACTGTTTGGGCTTACCGTCTGCTATCTAAACACGTTAACATCAAAGCAATCGAAACAAAACGAAATTTTTGACTTATTCTGTTGTGTATTTGTGTGAAATTTGTGTTTCGTATTTCTTAAAGGGAGCTACGGAGATTGAGGGTTTGAGAAAAAAGTTGCTAAATAGAATATTTGGACCTAAGAAGTGACAAGAGGCCGGATAAAATTGCACTGTGAGGAGTTCCATCGTCTGTACTCTTCTCCAATAAGCATATTATTAGGTTATAAAGTTAAGAATTATTACATGGGTGGGGAGTGTAGCACGCGTGAGATTATTGGATATATGCGTACAAAATTTTGGTCTGAAAATCTGAATATCACATAAAACATATGGGAGTAGACGTGAATATAATTTAAAAATGCGTCTTACGGAAACGGGGTGGGAGGTTTGTAAACTGTATTAATCTGGCTCAGGATACGGTTTAGTGGCGGACTCTTGTGAGTACATTAAGGAAACATCTGCTTGCATAAAGGGCGGGTCACTTCTTCACTACTTTAACTATTAGCTTTTAAGGAGTCTACTTCATAGAGTTAATTCTTAAACACTATTGGAATTATAATGTTTTTAAAATGTGCTGGCTGCTGCTGTTAAATTAAACCTACGCCTTATATTCAGGGCCTATATGAATTATACGCGACGTTACGAATTTTAAAATTTATCACTTTCAATTATTACAAAGCTGAAGGAATTACATTTTCGAAACGAGTTAACTTCCTATAATTTGGATGGCCCTTTGAGCAACATGGTAGGCCTGTGTGGTCCCTAAATGGACACACAAAGATAGGAATGGATGGACCAAAGTGCATCGAATATTTACTTTATATTGATAATGCGATGGCAAACATATGATTAAAACCTACAGTTAATTTGTGTTTTAAAAATATCGGTTCACACAGAAATATAATATAAAGTAAAATATAGCATAATATATAATGACAACAGTAGCTGCATGGTGTGTATTATTATACAAAAGGCAGTTCGTATTTGAAAGACCATACACAGAAGTATTTGAATTGTTGGAGGACTTCAGGCAAGACGTTTACGAAGAATGTGACATTTTTAATTGTTGTTCTGGCCTTATTTTGAGAGATTACTTAGAAACTGATTGTGATTTATATTACATAGCACCATTCTTGTTTTAAGTCGACTGGAAGTAACGAAGGACGAGGGGGGCTGAGAAAGAGATCTGGAAGAGATGGGAAGAAAGTACGGGAGAAAGGAAAACAAGAAAGGGGATTGCGATACTTTAATTGCCTATTGCATTTCAGTGAGATTTTTTCTACGAACAACAGCGTTAATATTCTAAATTGTTGTTATTATTAGACGTAACAGCACTAAAATAAATTTATAATTTTTTATGATTGTCTAGTTTTATCCATACGAAAAATAATAAATCAATACCAAATAATCTGTACGTTTAATGTAATTTACGATCAGTGATTTGATTACTTTCTAGTCGAGAACTACAATGTATTGTTTCATCAGTCAAAACGCAACTCAAAAATCATTATATTTTTTGAACTGCATACTGTCTTACATGTTACTAGTTGAGGGCTGAGATAGGCATCCAGTTGGTGCCACGTCGATACTAGGGATAGATTTTTGCGACAGAGGTGTGATCTCTTTCATTCCTGATATATGAATTAGTTGTCAGATGTGGCTTTTATTTACATTATGCTCATTAAACAATTTTAATACGTATTTTAATCCTTTGAGTCCAGTTTCAAATATGTTTGCAAGGCATAGCATTGGCGTTTAGGATATTATAAACAAGTATTACAACTGTGATATATATTGCACATTTAAATGAACTGTTTTCATATATTTTTTAGTGTCACGGTTTATAAATTACAGAGAAATTCTGGGAGCGTTTCCGTGCCATATGTTGTCAGACTGAGGTATTGTAAGCGCTATCAATGTGATTGTATTTATTTGGCCATTCATTTAGAAATCTTATCTGAAAACAGTAGTAAAAAAATGGAATCAGTTTGATATGGCTAAAATTAACACACCTTGTGTGTTCTTTGTTGTGGAAATTTTTATGTTTTGGCTTTCAAATTTTTACCATTTTAAGATTATTTTAACATAACTTGCATTTGCACATTATTATCTGTTCTTATAAATACTATTCCCCCTCTTGAATGTCTAATAATAATGCTGGCCAATGACGGGAAGAGGCGGGAATTATTTAGACCACGTGGTTAATAATTGAACCAATCAGATTGCAGAAGCACTTTTTCAAGCTTCCCGGCTCAGCCATAGTTGTATGGAAGACGGTAGCGTGTCGAGGGATAACGGGCTCGGTTACGTTGGTTCCATATTTCTGTCTGTTGCAGGTCTTGTTGGACTATCTTGTTTGTGTGTGGACGGTGCTAATAAGTTTGTGATTCACGTTGCAGTGCATAAACGTTGTGGACCCTGAGAAACTAATAATGAGTAAGCTGTACGTAGGAAATTTACCAGCGGACGTGAACGAAGGCACGTTAAGACAACTTTTCCAAGATCATAGTTTATCGTGTACCACGATACTTGTAAAGCATGGTGGATATGCATTCGTAGATTGCACGGACCAATCTACAGCCGATAGAGCGATTGACAAACTAAATGGTAAGTTCATTTTCATTGCATTTCATATCGCGTTTAGGTGGTGTAGTGTTCGTGACTAATTCTACTTTTCACTGTTCAGTCATACAGAGTATCACGGAACCCATGCCCTCGGCCTATCACGCTCTTCATTTCCTTTTCATACGATCCAATATGGCTGCCAGTTTCAAGCTGAAGGTCATGTGCTTAACATTTGAAATTCATTATAAATATACAGGCTGTTGCATATTTGCCATTCTAATGATATTACGCAAGTTTTATGAAATTTTTATTTAAGATTATTTAGTTTCCATTTTATTGATTTTCTGTGAGTGTTGTGTACAAGGACCAGTTGTTTCTGCACCGGCGCCAAGCTCACGCCACAAAAAGCCGGTTGCCAAGCCGCTTGAAATTAGGCCTACAGACATCGCCCATATGCCAGCTACAAATCATTTCTCGCGCCGCTTACATAAAATTAAATGTTTTCCGAAGACTCAGGCATTCAGTATTTGTGTATGTGGCTACATACTGCACATTTACTAGTGTTATGTTAATTTACAGCCTTTGCATTTTATCTAAGAATGAGTAGGCCTGGATGTTTTGTAGTTGCATGTGGGTTTCAGTCTTGTGGTAAAAATCCTGTAATGCATACCCAATTGTCATTACTAATTTTTCTTACAAACGAGCATTGGCTGTCCACTGAGGAATTGTAATGCAAAGTACAATTTCTTATATAAACTCAGACAATATAAATTAGATTTTAGTATGTCAACAAGTTTAATTAATCATCAAGGGATACAAAAGTGTATGGCAAACTTACAAACAAATAATATTTGGCCTGAGTTTCTTTGATGACTTACTTTACAAAAAACAAGATTTGGAAGATTCCTTGGCTGTTGTATATTCAGCTACCACCCAGTTTGAGGTAATGTTACCTATTTTTATAACTTGTTTTTCCATCCTTGTGTATAACCTTTAAGTGGACTTCTTCAGGTCTTTAATTTGCAGCATAATTACAGATGAAACTTCTTTCATCATCATCAATATCATCTCAAATGGTTCAGCTTTAGCAGCATTTGCAGGTATCGAGTCAATTTTGATGCAGAATCTTAATGTCAATAAGTGACATAAACCACATTGGATTTATCACTTGTTTTGTGATTTTGATTTTAATGTATTAGACTTACTGCATTCAATGATTAATTATTTTCAAATGTTTTATGAAACTGTGACCAAATGAAGTTGTCACCAGATTTGAATTTGATTTTTATATCTAACAGTAACCCTTCTATTCAACCCAGTCCCAATATGAAACAGTTTTATTTATTTTGGATAAGTGGATTTGTATATTAGTTCTATAGCATGGTTGTTTAAAGTGAAACTGTTGGGAAGTAAATTTGGACATTTAAACTGTTGAAAAAATGTTATGATACGTAATGTGGGAATTATACCCGAAGTAAAAGAACGCACTTTAAAATGATAATTGTGATTGTCATACAGGTGTGTCAGGCAAAGTGATGTGGATTCATATGATTACAAATTAAAATTGCATGGCTGTGAAAACTTTAAATCTTACATTTGAGGGATGTCTGATATCTTATTAAACAGAACTGGTATGCTCAGTTCAGGAACATATCGTGCCTGCAGCGCTTATGGACCTTGCACCGAGGATAACTTCGAAAATCAAATATTTGTGGATTCATATGATTGATTTGACATTTGATAAGAGGACCAGGAACTGGAGAGACCATGTTTAGAGTTTAAACATGCAGATTGACATGTTAACATAAAACATTGTTATTTTAATTTGTTAGTTAGGTATAGATAAAATATTTTAATTGTTAGAGAAATTAAGATGTTGAATATTTTTGACATTTTTTGCTATGGGCCTGTTATATATAAATTTATAATTAAAGCTTGTCCTGGTGCAGAAATCAAATTTCATTGTTATGAAATGATCACAAAATTTAAATTTTTCATTGGTTTTCTTAGCAGTGGTTTTTGCGTTCATGAAATACTTTAAATTAATTTTTCTCACTTTCAATTTTGCAGTGGAATTATCAATTGCCTAATGTTCCTAGTTGTATCAGTTTTTATGGTGCAGCATTTCCTGAATTATGATGTTATAAAAATTGTATTTTTGAGTTTTTATTTCAGATTTGGAATACTGTTTTCAATTCGTTTTATTTATATCCACATTTTGCAGTGATTGTGTTCTACCGAGTTTACAGCACGATGCAATTCTTGAATTTAAAGATCCTTTCATGCAAATTATGGGCATGAATTACCTGTTTGTCTGTTGCTTGTGGAAAATTGTTTTCATTGCATTTGCCTGGGTTTGCTGCTTTATAATACATTTTAACCAGGACATTCTGAGTCATCAGATGGGGTTCCAAATTTTGCATCTTGTCCTGGAACACTGAATTTTTTTTTCTTCCCCTTGAGAGTCGTAAATTCCAAGTACTGTCCATCAATTTAAGTTTGTCTCAGGAGATGCAATTAAATTCTGGACTTCCCTGCCCTTGAATATTCATTATAATTATCATAATTTCAGTCAACTGCGGTGGCTAACACTTGCTATTGAGGGACAGTTTTAACAATTCTCAGATCGTGAAGGAACCAAAATTTTAATTATCACTGGAAATGAAACCTGTTTGAGATAGTAGCACGTGGGAGTTTTGCTAGCAGATTTCTTTATTTGGCGTCGATCATTGCATCATTTGCCTTGGACACTGCTTGCAGAATTTGCTACTCAGGTCATTCATGCATGAGAAGTAATAATAATTCACAGGTTCATTATTCGTAACAATGATAAGATTTGTATGGTGATGCAATGTGGTGACTGTGACTTCAAGTCAATTTAGCTCCCATTTTATTTGATTTGGTATGAATGAAATTCATGTTTTTTCCCCCAAAATGCATTTCTAACATGACTCTAAGTCATCCCTGAAAATTGATTGTAAGAATTTGCTTATTATTTGTGAGTAATTTGTATTAGTTATCTTGCATTGGGCATAAATGTAATAAATTATGAAAGTAGGGTAACTTTAATAGAATTTAATGTAGCTTGTTGAAATTGTGTCCCCTCCTTTCACCGTCATAAAGAATTATTCATCTTCATTGCAGGTAGAAGTGTATGATTGGGTATTTCTTCTACAAAAACAACCGAAGGACAGTGGAAGGTTTCAGAAACAAGTAAAAATAAAATGGATTCTCCCAGCCTGTTTTCTCCCGTGGGTCTGGCATCCATATTTTGTTTTCGATCCATTCCGACACACGTCTCGACTCTTATGAAACAGAAAACAGTCTTTTGGTTAGTAGGCCCAGTGCATGTAGTCTTACGTCATTAATGTACCCCCCCCCCCCCTTTTGCCTAGTACGGAAGTATTTTGAAGAGCACGGAGTCCGGTTGCAAGAGTCGAATTTATTGTGTTCCGTCAGCAGTAGATTTGCTTCACTCCACTACATTGCAACATCCTTATGTGATGTGATTACAGTGGATCACCCAGTTTAGAACCGTGTGATGACTAATGGATTATTTTCCGCATAGTGTAGCGTGCCTGTTTTGTATATGCTTAATATTCAAACAAACCATCCGTCTCAGATCATTTGATAGAACAGGTTTCGAATTTGATGCGGGGAGAAGCGGTGATTCGCAGTTGAACGAATAAAGCCTTACTGCCCGAAGTTGCAGCCATGGGTTTACTGTCTTAACGCATTTGTAATAATGACACCCAACACAACACCAGGCGCCTTCGAGGTGGACGGACACACGCCCCCAGGGCAGACTTGGCTCCTGTTACACCGAGGCATGCAGTTTTGTGTCCTGCTAATATGCCCGTAATTTATTTACATTTATTCTTCATTTTAAGGCGCCAGTCTAGTTATTTAGACTGTAATCTGCGTTTGGTACGTAGAAGTAAACATGATTTTAAAATTTGTGAATGAATATTTTCTCGTTATGCTTATTAGTGCGCATTGTAGAGGCGAGAAGGCTGTCTGTAAAAGTATTTTTTTAAATCGTATAAGGTTTTTTTAAACTGATTAGTCATACAACTTTTAATTTGTCCCTGGTGATGTGACGTATTCTCCTTCAGGTTATAAATGTAATATTAGAAGAGAAGTCTGTAGGTTTTTCTTTTAAAGGTTTGGAGAGGACTCTTAAGTCCACAAGATGGATGTTGCAGAAAAATTGAAAATCTGGCATTAAATTTCTTTTTCCAGGTTCATAATTTTTCGGTACTTTGGGTGTTTGGGGCACTAGCAAGACAGGTTTGTCCACTCTGAAGAGGGGGAGCTAGCCAGACCACTGTGGGATATACCAGCATGAAGAATTTGTTTGTTAACCTGGAATATTTTGTCTAGCACCTAGCAGACATGCAACTGTTGTACAGCTTAAGTTATTCCCTGCCTTCTGGTTCTGCCAGCTGAAAATTTCCGGTTTTTTCTTGGTGTAACTCAGTATAAGGGAATGGAGGTATGCGATGGTGTTTTAATGCACAAGTTTCGTTCCCTTCTACTTGGGCACTTGTGGTTTGAAACTTCTTTTGCCCGTTCAATGCTGCGGAAGGGGGGAAGTTAAGAAGGGTCAATTTCAGGAGAACGTACTGAAGTATTCCGATTAGCATATGACATATGTGATATTACTCAGAGGCTGTCGTATTGCAGGGAAAAGAACAAGGAACTTGAAGAGATGATTGGCAGTCGCCAGTCGGATTAAAATTGTACTCACTAAGGAGGTACAGTGCTTTCCTTTTGGGGGAGAAAAATACGAATAACGAAGTTACCTTAAAATCGCGTCCACAGGACAGCAAACATAAAGTAATTTTTTGTCGGAAATTAACTCATTTGTATCCAGTTACGGCAAGCACGTGATTTATCGTGTTGTGCTGTTTTTTTTCCTTACATTTCATACAGTTTGCTAGTATAAAGAACCAGAATTAATACCTAGGACGCTGGGCCCCTTTCACAGATGTTGAATATTTATAAAAGGGCGGGTTGGTCCTTGAAATCGCTGACTTCCC